CAGGCGGGGAATGCGTACAAATCGACGACCGTGAGTTGTGCCATAGTGAACTCTATCGTCTTATCGTACCCCCGCAAGGCAATCGGGGGTTGAATGGAACTGCGATGTGTTAGAAAAAGAAGAGGATCCTTGGATATGATAAGTTTGCTAGAATAAAATGCTGATACAACTGAAGGAACGAAGTGGACAGGATAAGACACCTAAGTTGAGAGAAGACAATGGAGTCTTTGTAGTTGCTTTGTTGATAATAAATGAAAAAGAACAAGATGATTAAAAGATAGGAGTACAAGGGTACAAATAGCAAACTAGCTAGCCATATACTATAAATCCCCGTATATAAGACGCTAGGGCAGGGCTTCAGATTCGTTTTTGGGCCACCCTTAGTAATCAGGGTTCTGCGTATAGTCAACCCTGATGCGTAGGGTAAATTTTTGTTCTCCCTGACAAGTGCAAGGTAAAAAAACAGTTAGTCTGTTTGGGCAGGGTATAAAAAAAATATATATTTAATGGATATTACCAAAATATTCAATTTCAATAGTTTGTGGTACAGCTGGTTCGAATACCCATAAGGTCTGAAAGATCGCAGGTTCGAATCAGATGTTGGGAGCATTTTGCAGGGGAGGTGCAGCTGAAGGTTCATGGCAGCCTCCCCCTCACGCCACCTCCCTCCGTGGCCGCCACCCCCTCCACCTCCCCCCCCCACGGTAGAAGAACAGCGGGAGGAGCTGGTGGGACGACGGGGGGGGGGGGGGGAAGGGCAGTAGAGCCGGCGTGCGCTGCTGTGGGTGCGCGGGCTGGCGTGCGTGCTGCAGCAGGTGCGCGTGCGCTGGAGTGAGTGCGCTTCTAGTGTGTGCGCGCGCTGCTGCTGGCGAGCGCACACACTGCTGGTGGCGTGCACGTGCGATGCTGGTGGTGTGCGCTTGCGCTGCTCTGGCAGGACGGACGAGGAGGCAGCACGTCGGGGAGGCGACGGGCCACGGGCGTTCGCCATCGTGTCCACCACGGCCGTCGCACTGAGCCCCGCGATGAGTGCTGTGACGTGCGCGACAGAGGCTGCGACGGAGCGGACGGGGCTCACCATTGCGTAGCTTGCCGCCGCGACAGGCAGCAGCGGGACGGGCGGCAGCGGCTGCACGATGGGCAGCGCGAAGGGCAGCACGACAGAATGCGCCATATCGGAAGCTAACGGTGGGCCCATAATCGACGAGAATATCGGTCCAAGGAGGAACCTCTCTGATATCATGTCAAGATACACTGAACGAAATTATTGTCCTTATGTATTCGATCTATACAGCAAATTGCACCCAATTGTAAAATAAGCAAGTATTGTAATAATCAAATTGCGTTTGGCGTTTGCGACTTTGTGTTACCAGTTTGTGTAGGTTACCTATGACTCAGAAAAACCTCTTGCTCTAACGAGTCAACTCTTCCCTCTTGACACCCCACACGGACAAATCCTTCCGAAATGTCGCGCGCTTTATTTCGTGCGCAGTTAGATCTAGACTAGCTAGGTAAAGATGAGATTACGGGCGGTTCTACGATCTTTGCGTAGCGCTAACACCTCCGCAGCATGAAGCGCCTTAATGTGGAGAAAAAGAAGCGCATCATGCAGCTAATTGCGGAGGGGTGTAGTTACCGCCAAATCGCTAAGGAGTTGGGAGTTTTGAAGTCCTCCGTCTATGACGAGCTCCTCCGCCACCTCGGTCCGAAAACATACAAGGAGCTAGTGCCGTCCCCGGAGAAACCTGGTCGGCCGTGCAAGCTACCAGAGCAAATCGCGAGGATAGTCGTAAGGTCGATAGTTTCTGGTGAATCGAAATCCGCCGAGGCCGCAGCGGGAATGATAGCTTCTTCGCACGTCATCAATGTCACTGGCTCCACCGTTCGAAACACTCTCAAGCGGCACAGAGTTAGGGCGATTGAAAAGCCGTCGAAGCCTAGATTATCCGAGAAAAATGTCAAGGACCGCAGGCAGTGGGCCAAGGACCATCAGCAGTGGACGATCGACGATTGGAAACGCGTGGTTTGGAGCGACAAAACGAGGATCTGCCGGTTTAGTAGCGACGGACATAGTTGGGCCTGGATTGGCCAGAGCTGTCACATGGAGCCGCACCATGTGAAACAGACCGTCAAACATGGCGGCGGCTCCATCATAATTTGGGGGTGCATGACATACAACGGCGCGGGTTTTATATGCAAGATATAGGGAAGAATGAATGAGGAGTTATACCGTTCAATCTTGCAAGACGAGCTTCAGCAGAATATCGAGCATTACGAGCTGGATCTCGAAACAGTTGTGTTCCAGCATGACAACAACCCCAAGCATACATGCAAGATGGTCAAAACTTACCTAGCCGAGCAGCCGTACTCTGTTCTCCCATGGCCAGCATCTAGTCCGGACCTCAACCCCATATAACATCTGTGGGTTTACTTGAAGAAGCAGCTGCTTGCTTACCCCCGCCCCCCTGCAGGCATTCTCGAGCTATGGGACAGAGTTCAAGTGAAATGGGAGAAAATCCCAGCGGCCTGGTGCAGTGAGCTGATCGACAGCATGCCTAGGCGTGTGCGGGCTGTGCTCAAGGCCAAGGGTCGCTGGACCAAGTACTAGATTCTGCTTGGTTTGCATGGGTAGTCGTATTTGTAAAAAACTGTCCATATTCTAGTATTTGCCTAATTCTATATCTGCTGATTGTTCAACCGAGTTAACGGCCTAGACGCCACGTGTTTCGATGTACAACACTCCGAGCTTTAACCTTATGGCGCCCTGTTATTAAGGCTTAAACCCTGTAGCTACTAATGCACAATCATTTCTTGATTTTAGTCCATGTGGACAACTATTTCGTTCAGTGTAAGCTCATAGGCTAGGGAGCCATGGCTAGGGTTTGAGACTTAGGAGCTTGAAAGTAGCGAGAAGGGAGATGGCCAAAAGAGGGGTATTCACTAATGAATGTTTACAAGATATAGGAAAGGAGGGGAGGTGCACCACCAAAAGAAGAAGCATATAGCTACACTAGGATCAACAGTAGGCAGATATATAAATGAAACAAATACATTTCAACACTAGTGTCACCACCCTATAGTATTTAAGGGGTGGCATTACTCTCGCCACTCGACAGATTAGAATCACCGCATTGGCAGTGGAGAAAATAACAACATTTGACCACGTTGACTGTGTGAGAAAAGTACGAGGAATGGAATCAACAAGGAAGCAGGTGGGTACAAATATGAAAACCTAATAGAGTTGTACCCCATATTGTCAACCCCACTACAGCCTACAATATGGTTCTGACACACCCCCATAGGCAAAGTGGGGGACAAGCAAGAGAACAAGGCAAGGTCAAGCTCAGGGTGGATCACAACGTCACCACACATTCTGAGCACAAGTTCAAGGCCAAAAGGCCAGTTCACATGCAGGATAACAAATCAAAGTGAACAAGCAAGATAGTGATTACAACCTAACAAAGGTAAACATGCAGGCGTAGGTATATATAGATCACAGTACAAGCAAAGTCAAAAGGTAAGCAAGTGAGGCTCGGTAGGCACAAGACCTAGCATAGTACAAAAACGCTGATGATCACAAGGTTCAAGTGCCTTGGTGAAGAGAATAGCAGTGTTGGCCCGGGAGGCAATGTAAGCAAGATGAAGCTGACCACGCTGCTGCAACTCTCGAGCAAGGAAGTAGCGAAGAGCAATGTGCTTTGTTTTGTGCTCCAGTTTTTGCTCCTGACACAAGGCCAGCATGGCCTTGTTGTCGATGTATAGAACTGGAGGAGAACGAGGCACCCCTCCCAAGTCGGTCAGCAGGTAGGTGAGCCAGCGTAGCTCCTGTGCAGCCATGGCCCCTGCGTAGATCTCAGCCTCACAACTGGAGCTGAGAACAGAGGACGAGCGGGTAGACCGCCACGAAACAGAGCCGGAACCAAGGCTGAAGGTGTAACCCTGTGACGACCGCGGCGTAGCCAAGTCGTCAACCCAAGAAGCGTCTGCGTGACCAGTAAGGACAACTCGAGCCCGTCCTCCAAGCACGAGCCACATGCCCGACGTACTGCACAGGTAGCGCAACACCCTCTTCACTGCAGCCATGTGCTCTGGTCGGTGTCTCCCAGGAGCAACATAGCGTGCCAAGATGCTAAGAGGGTATGCCAAGTCAGGTCAAGTGCAAGTCATCAGGTACATGAGGCAGCCAACAAGCTCTGGGTACGGGCCACTCGGCTCTACGGACTCATCCGAAGGCAGAGCTGAGAGCGAGTGGCGAGAAGACAGAGGAGTGGCCTGAGGCGAGGAGTACGTGAAGTCAAAGGGCTGAAGGACCTGCTGCACCATGTGTGACTGAGTCAAGGTAATGGTGTGCCGTGCTCTGTCCCGAGTGATCTACAAGCCAAGATAGCTGCGCAGTTCACCCCAGTCAGTGCACGTGTGTCTCTTCTGCAGCTCCAACTTCACCAGGGCGAGTCCCTCAGTGTCAGTAGTGGCAAAGACCAAGTCGTCGACGTACACGAGGATGTAGAACGGCGGCAGCGAAGTGTCGGTGCGCAAAAACAGCGACGGGTCAGTAGTAGAAGGAGCAAACCCAAGAGCCGCAAGCATAGTCCTCAGTGTGTCGTGCCACTCACGGGGCGCCTAGCGGAGACCGTAGACTGGCCGCCGAAGGCTCCACTGGGTACCAGGAGAAAATGACCATGTGAAGCCAGGTGGGCGGCGCAGCCAGATCTCCTTGTGCAGGCTGCCCTGTAGGAAAGCAGTGCTGAAGTCAAGAGAGTGAAGCTCGTAGTCACGCTGAGCAGTGATGTGCAGCAGAATCCGAAGAGTGGTCATCTTTGGTGTCGGGGAGAAGGTCTGGAAGAAGTCACTCCCTATCGCTGACTGAAGCCTCGAGCAACGTAACGCGCCTTGAAGACAGGCGGAGAACCCGGCAGCCACTTCACCCTGAAAATCCAGATGCCACTGACGATGTTCGCCCAAGGAGGGGGAACCTCATCGACGTAAGTGCCTTTGAACTTCTAGGATGCCATCTTTGCGTCCATGGCTGACTTCCATTGAGAGGAGTAGGGACCCTCTATTGCCTCTGTGAAAGAGCGCGGGGCCGGGATGTCTGGTGCATCTGGGTCTCCCTCAGGTGCAATCAGCATGGACACGAGATAAGGTACAGTAGCTGCAAAGCACTCAAAGTCCTCCTGCCTGTCCTCAAGTACGTCCGTGCCAAGAGCACACTCACCCCCGACGGACGGAGGACAGATACACTCAGACTCAACAACAAGACTAGCGGCGTAGTCGAGACGACAGTGAGCAGCAAAGTCGACAAGCTCAGTAACTAAGGCAGACGTAGCAGTGGACTCAAAGGAAGGATCTGTGACAAAAGTGGCCAGGAGACGCGTGATAGTAGGACTAGCACCACGAAGGGAGTCAGACTCTAGGCCAGCAAAGGCAGGAAGAGGGACTTTGGAGGAGACGGCAAAGGGACAAGCTGCGGTGCAGTGGAACGGCGCAGAGCCATCCGGTGCATGCCAGGGAGAGGAGGAGGACGCTGACGCGAACCACGACGACTAGTGCTAGCAGCACGAGTTGGCAATGTAGGACGAGACGCAGGCTCACGACGCTCAGCAGGACCTCCGGTCGGACCAGTGTAAGGAGAAGGAGCAGGTAGTGGGGAGGCGGGCTGTTACTATGACTGCGACTGGACAGGCGGTGGACACTCTAAGGAAGGAGCAGGACCTGTAGAAGGCAGAAGACCAAGAACCTGCAAAAGGAGCGGAACGTAGTGCGGCCGCGCAGCGCCTTCAGAACTAGCAGGGACAGAACCAGCACCCCCAGTGGCTGCTCCATCTTCAGCAGTACCACCAGCTCCACCAGCACCTCCAGCAGCACCTCCAGCAGCACCAGAAGCGTCAGCTCCAGCACCCACAGGAGCACCGGCTCTAGCAGCACCTCCAGCTCCAGCACCTCCAGCATCACTTGCTCCAACAGCACCGCCAGCTTCAGCACCTCCAGCAGCTCCAGCTCCAGCAGCACCACCAGGCCCAGCAGCTCCAGCACCTCCAGTACGAGCACCTCCGGGACCCGTGGCTCTAGAACCCCCATCAGCTCTAGCAGCAGCAGGAGCTCCAGCAGCAGCAGGATCTCCAGCGCCCGTAGTACCACCAGCTCCAGCAGCACGGCTCCAGCGCCGAGCAAACCACTCGCGCAGCTGCTATGGAGAGAGTGCCTCCCGACGGGACGAAGCACCCGAAGGACCACCAGGGTCGACACCTCTAGACTCCACATGCGCAGGCTCAGCACCCTTAGGCTCCGCACCCCCAGACTCAGCAACCCCAGACTCAGCAACCCCAAGCTCAGCACCCGCAGGCTCCGCACCTCTAGGCTCAGCACCCCTAGCAGCACCAAAGTCAACAGCTACCTCGACAGGCTTGACTGCGTCTACCTAGGACACACCTGAGGGGGCAGGACCCTGAGGGGGGAGGGGGTTTACCGGGGGAGGACCGGGCGCAAGGAAGAGCGGCGGGGGAGGGGGGCGGGCAGTACAGTAGGGGAAGAGACGGTAGTAAGGAACCGTCTCGTCAAACGTGACGTCCTGAGAGGACAGAACACGGCGCGATGTGGGGTGGTAAAACTGCCAACTAGGCGCGTCAGAGGGGAAGCCAAGGAAGACGTAGGGAACAACACAGGAGGACAGCTTGTCCGCAGACAAGTCGCGGACGAAAGCCTGAGATCCCCAGACACGGAACGCAGATGCATCGCCAACCTTCCCCGTCCACCGCAGAGAAGGTGTGATCTCTAGCATGGAGACCCAAGGTTGGAGGTTGATCTGATGCACCGCGTACTGAACCGCGAACGGCCACAGAAAATGGGGAGCAGCCGCATGGATCATGGACGTACGAGCAACGTTTATGACCATGCCAATGCGGCGCTCAGCAATCCCATTTTGCTGTGGAGAGGCCGGAAGCGTGAACGTCTAGCGGATGCCCTCCGCATGACAGATGGCTCGCAGAAGGTCGGAGGAAAACTCTCCACCTCTGTCGGAGTGCAGACGTAGAATTGGAAGGTCCGAGCAGAAAATCTCGCTGAGCTGACGACGTGCAGCACAGATCCAGTCAATCAGCACCTTTGTAACCTCACCCTTGCGGCGCAAGGTGAAGACTGTGGTGTACCGCGAGTAGTCGTCAACAACCAGCAAGAAGTAGCGCTCGTGACCCTGTCCACGAACGCGGGCTGGGTCCCACACGTCCACGTGAAGAGTCTGCAAGGGAGCCTCTGTTGGAGGAAACTCGGAGGAGTGAGGAGCGGCGCGCTGCCGTCCCTCGATGCAAGGAACGCAGGTAGGGGCAGCCCCCGGAGGAAGGGGAAGGAGAGACCGGGGAAGACCAGTGACAAGGATACAGGAGGCCATGCCTTGGAGACGAGGCAGGGAGGGGTGAACAAGGCGGTGGTGCCAGGGAAGAGTCTGGTGAGACAGGAGGCGACACGAGCAGGAGACAGACTCAGGACCAGACCGGGACGCAGCCGCAAACACCTGACCCGACGCAGCTACCTAACTAGACGCTGAAACGGGAGGAGACCCGGTAGTCAGTGTTGGTGAAAGGGCCTAATAAACTCAAGCTAAAAAGACTTTATCAAACTTAAAATCTCTCCTCGGGGTCACCTCCAAGGGTCCTTGGGTGCCTGGTACAAGACCAGCCCCTATCCTCGGGTCCGAGTTTGTAGAGAGAGGGATCAAGAGGGACTAAGTCAAAACAGCAAGAGTACCTTCAACGTTGCACAGCGTATCGTGCAAACCGCCGATCGGATTAAGCTGAGAATTTCCTAAATCGAAGCTCACTCTAAGAGCTTTAAAATAAGCCAAGTTGCCTCGCGAAAAATTCTGCCATTACGAAGTTATGGCTCGGACAGCGTTAGCCTAGCGTTGGAGTGCTAGCATACTAGCGTTGACTCGGGTAGCATTCCGCCGTCGCACCGCGTAGAAACAAAATTCCAGGAAGGGAGGAATTCGCTTGAATCAATTTTACTATATTCAGGTACAAACAGAGAAGGAATAAAAAGCTCTAGCTAGCAAGGACCTTGGGAATCAACCTGGGAACAACCAGGGATGATCCCAAATAATTCCAAGCAACAGAACCAACCTTGCTGGACAAAACAGCAGGTGGTAGGTTGGTGAACAACCTCTGGTTCTGTTTTTCCAACCTGGGAAAACAAAATTCCAGGAAGGGAGGAATTCGCTTGAATCAATTTCACTATATTCAGGTACAAACAGAGAAGGAATAAAAAGCTCTAGCTAGCAAGGACCTTGGGAATCAACCTGGGAACAACCAGGGATGATCCCAAATAATTCCAAGCAACAGAACCAACCTTGCTGGACAAAACAGCAGGTGGTAGGTTGGTGAACAACCTCTGGTTCTGTTTTTCCAACCTGGGAAAACAACAACCAGGTTCAGGTCCTAAAAACAGAACCTGTTTTGTCTTTGCCCAACCAGCCAAATGCTGGTTCCGCTGGTTTCCCCTGGCCCTGTAGCATGCAGATACAGACAAACAACATCCAACCTTCACCTAAATTCTACCCCTATAGTGCCTGCCCTGCTAGACTATAGTCAACCAAACAAAACAGTACAATTTCGAGTTGGATAGAACTGAATCTGCGAAATCAAGTAAGCCGAACCGCAAAGCTTCCATCTTGGGTTCCTTTGGAAGCTCGTCCTTTCTGCTTGTACTATTCATAACGCGTACAATGTTATGCCAAAGCGCACAATGCGCGAGTACCTGCAAATGCTTAAAGCGAAAATTGCGAAGGCAAACAAACACACGAACATTCCATTCATACCCAAATGCATTCGCACCCGCATACTCGTACAAACGGATGGCAGGATGTCGTGCAATGTGAATTTGCACCCAACACACTCCCCCTCAGCCTACCGGTTGCATTTCCATCATTCCATACTAGTTAATGCTCATTCCACTCCTGCGCACACAACGCCAATGAGGCTCATCTGCAAGCCTCTTCGTGAGGAAGTCTTCTGGCTGCTGGTGAGTCTTGATGTAGATCAGATTCACCGTCCCGCTCTTCACCTCCTTACGCAGCCAGTGCCACTTGATACGCATGTGCTTGATCAGCCCATGAAGCACAGCGTTCCTGGCCATCCCAAGAGTTCCCTTGCTATCACAAAACAGCGGTGTAGCAACCTTTTGCTCCTGGCGAATCTCCTCTAACAGCCTCCTCAGCCAAATAACCTCTTTCACCCCATGGAACATCGCCATGTACTCTGATTCCACAGAAGAGAGTGCTGTCTCCGTCTGCTTCTTTGACCTCCAACTAACAGGTCCTCCTCCATCTACGCAGATGTATCCTCCCACTGATGAGGAATCCTCCTTCTCAGAGGCCCACGTAGCATCGGTAAAGCAAGTGAGAAAGAGCTTGCCTTCTCCAAGCCTCTCCCCCTTCTCTTTCAGCACCTCAACCCCTTTCTGCTTCACCTGTGCAGATGCGGAGTATTGAACTCCAATGCTTGGGTGAGAGTTCAGATACTTCACCACACGCTCAGCTGCATCCAACTGTGTTGGGTGCAAATTCACATTGCACGACATCCTGCCGTCTGAGTGTGCGAATGCATTTGCGTGTGAATGGTTTGTTTGTGTGTTTGTTTGCTTTCGAAAAATTTCGCTTGAAGCATTTGCAGGTACTCGCACAATGTGCGCTTCGGCATAACATTGTACGCGCTATGAACAGTACAAGCAGAAAGGACGAGCTCGCAAAGGAACCCAAGATGGAAGCTTTGCGGTTCAACTTACTTGATTGCGCAGATTCAGTTCTATCCAACTCGAAATTGTACTGTTTTGTTTGGTTGACTATAGTGTAGCAAGGCAGGCACTATAGGGGTACAATTTAGGTGAAGGTTGGATGTTGTTTGTCTGTATCTGCATGCTACAGGGCCAGGGGAAACCAGCGGAACCAGCATTTGGCTGGTTGGGCAAAGACAAAACAGGTTCTGTTTTTAGGACCTGAACCTGGTTGTTGTTTTCCTAGGTTGGAAAAACAGAACCAGAGGTTGTTCACCAACCTATCACCTGCTAATTTGTCCAGCCAGGTTGGTTCTGTTGCTTGGAATTATTTGGGATCATCCCTGGTTGTTTCCAGGTTGATTCCCAAGGTCCTTGTTAGCTAGAGCTATTTATTCCTTCTCTGTTTGTACCTGAAAATAGTAAAATTGATTCAAGCAAATTCCTTCCTTGCTAGAATTTCTTTTCTACGCGGTGCGACGGCGGAATGCTACCCGAGTCAACGCTAGTACGCTTGCACTCCAACGCTAGGCTAACGCTGTCCGAGCCATAACTTCGTAATGGCAGAACTTTTCGCGAGGCAACTTGGCTTATTTTAAAGCTCTTAGAGTGAGCTTCGATATAGGAAATTCTCAGCTTAATCCAATCGACGGTCTGCACGATACGCTGCGCGACGTTCAAGGTACTCTTGCTGTTTTGACTAAGTCCCTCTTGATCCCTCTCTCTACAAACTCGGACCCAAGGATAGGGGCTGGTCTTGTACCAGGCACCCAAGGACCCTTGGAGGTGACCCCGAGGAGAGGTTTTAAGTGTGATAAAGTCTTAATAGCTTGAGTTTATTAGGCCCTTACACCAACAAGCTGGTATCAGAGCTGCGTTATAGTGATCCTCGATATAGGTAGCTATGGCGGGCAACACCTCGGCGGTAGCTGGTGAATCTTCAGCCCAAGATCGTAGCGGCAGCCATGATTCTGGTGTTTCTGCGCCAAGGGGAGCGCGAACAAGCCAGGGCTCGCTGATCAAGGAGGTGCTGAAAAACTTCACCGTCGAGAAGTTCAATGGTGACGGCTATGATGATTGGGCCTGGAAAATGCAACTATATTTCCGTCAAATCGGATTGCTGAAACTAATGATTGGGGAGGAGCCTAGACCGAGTGACCCCGCCCTTCAGGAAGATTGGGACGAGCGCGCCTCGGCTGGCTACTACTTGATGTCGCAGAGTTTGGAGCTGAACCAGCGTCACCACGTCATGCACCTGCTGCCGGAGGTTGAGTGCGGTCCGAAGGCGTGGACGGTGTTGAAGGAGCTGCACGCCCCGACCTCCGTTGTTGCAACATTGATGCTGGAGAGGGAGCTGTCCGCGTTGCGCCTGAGCGAGGGAGAGCCGGTGCAACCTGTCCTGGACAAATTGCGCGACCTCTACGCGAAGTTGGCGACCGCGGGAATCACCTACCCGGAGCAAACAAAGTGCTTGAAGATGCTCTCGCTGCTGCCGGAATCGTGGCTTCAATTTACGAGCGGATTGAGCCTGCCGCAGAACCAGAGCTTGTGGACGCTCGAGTGGGTGCGGACGAAGATTCTGGAGGAGGACTTCCGTCGCCGCCAACTGAGGGGTGGAGACAACGGCAGCAGCGGCTACGGGATGCAAGGGAGCCGACGTGGCAAAGGACGTGGCTTCAGTGGTGCTGGACGCGGTGCAAAGAAAGACGACGACTCCAACGACCAACAAGGAGGTACCGGTTGGGGTCGGGGTGCGAAATCTGGACGTGGGGGCAAGTCGGGTGCTGGTGGCAAAATGAAAGGGAGTTGCTGGTATTGTGAGAAGGAAGGGCACCCCTGGTTTTTGTGCTATAAGAAACCCGATGGATGGACCCCCCAGAATCGTCACCAGGATGGCGGCGCGCGGAGGAACCAAAAAAACGGCGCCAACATGGTCGCTGATTCGTCCGACAACAACCCGAAGGGCAACGGCGGTGCGGAGAAGAAGAAGGAGCGCACCGCGGGCCAATTCTTCCATATGGGAGACAAGGGGGAGCAAGGAGACGCATCTGCTAAGGCTGGAGCAGAGCTGCACCCCCTGGACTATTGGGTGTTGGACACAGGCGCTGCTTGGACAATGACGCCGCGCAAGGACCTGCTGGACGACGTACGCGCTGCACCGATTAATGAGGTGTGCTCTGCCTCTGGACACATGTTGAAGGTGGCTGGTGCGGGACGAGCTGCATTTAAGGGAGCGGATGGCAAGCCGGTGGTGCTGCACGACGTTCTCCTCGTCCCCGACCTGAAGGCCAACCTCATCTCCCTTCGTAAGCTTGGCAAGGCTGGGGTGAACACCAACACGGATGGGGCTCGCACTTATAAGGGGAAGCTGGGCAATCGGGTGCTTTGGGATCTGCACGAGAGCAAGGACGTGTACAGATCTATGTGGCAGCTGCCGGCGCTGGCGTGGCACGGTGGGGGGCAGGCTGGAGAGGGGTCAGCATCCCAGGGGGAGTGCAACGCCGTTGGAGGGGTTGGTGTGAAAGTGTCGGCCAGATCTGGGGAGACAGATTGGGCAACTGCACACCGACGTTTGGGGCATGTGGCAATGCCTTTGCTGAAGCAGCTGGAGAAGGATGGAGC